TGTTATAGAAATTAATATATATATATATATATATATATTTAATAATAAAATCACTAAAACTTTTCTTTTATATTTTTTTTTCTCTCAGCACTGCTTTTTCCCTTGCCTTGAGCCTGTCCTCCCAGCATCCGCATCCCAATGAAGCCATCATTAGTTGACTTCTTCTCTCTCACCAAATACCCCACATGACACAACGCACATAGGAACAAAAGATTGAAATATGAATATTTGTCTATTCTTTTTTACAAAAAAAGTGAAATAGAATGTTCTGAGACTTTATTGACTTCACAATAGTTTTGATTACGAAAAGTTAAAATTTAATAATTAATTCTTTTATGATGAGTGACAATGATACATTATATTATTAAAAAACTGTTTATAATATTTAATTTTATAATAAATAGTAACATGATATTTAATAATATTATTATTAATTAAATGAGAACATATAAATTCATCGCATAGAAAATATATATATATATATATTAACAACAATTGATTAAATTTAATAACTTAATTTAATAAGTATTCAATTAATTCAATAATTATTAATTAAGTTGACAAATATGAGCCTGTATCTCCAATAAAGAATTCTGATGAAATTACAACAGTCTATAGGACCTCACACTCAAAGTGTGATTGAAAATTTGTGTTGTGACATAAAACTCTAATACCTTTCAATGAAATAAGGAATTATGATGAGATTACAACAAAATTTTGATATTTGGGTGATAAAAATATAAATAATCAAACTAATTATAATTATCTTTATTTAAATTTGAAGTTAATTAAAAGTACGGGTAGCATAACCAGTTCAAACAAGTTTACATGGTATAACGCTTTTCTGCAAGGAAAGCCCGAAATCTCTTGCCTGCTACAATTTGATTCAACAAATCATTGCCTTCAGAGATAAAGGAGTTGTTCTCCAATGGAATCACACCTTCCGGCAGCTAATCACTGGTTGCTGATATATATGCGATGGCAAAATATGGATTTTCTCATTATTCACTTCGTGTCTTTTGATTTCATCCTTCATTTTGTATGCATGCTAACATATTCTTGGCTCCTTTTTATTCAAAGAGAGAGAGAGAGATAATATAGCATCTTTACGTAGGATTTTCAGTAATCACAATGACCAATCTCTTATCATCAAATTCTAACCAAATATAAATTATATATATATATTTATATATATTACATTTATAATAAAAAAATTTATATGTTATTATATGTAATATTTCTTATAATAGTTACGTACTATTTCAATTTCATGGCCAATGAAAACGCTGGCTTCGTGGCTAGGTAGTCAAGTATGGTGTACGTGAATAGTGTGAAATTAAGCCTCCCTTGTTCATGCAAATACGCCTAATTACGAAGGTTGACCCAGCCACTTTGCCACAACGTAACCATTCGAGACTCAAAATATAAATATAAGTACCCAAAAATTAGGCTCATCTCCACCGTCTCTCAAATCTCTCCCTTTGCCAGTGGTCAATTACCTAATTAGAAAATTAATGAATTTGCTCAACACTGGAAAAGTGGTACAACATACCATGGAAAATGATTAAGTTTTATTTTCTTGAAAAAAGTATAATTAAGTTCTTATTTATAAATTTTTTTATTTCATAAGAGTTTAAATACGCTATGAATTTACCAAAAGTTAAATTTATTAAAAAAAACTTTAAATAAATTTTGATCACAAAACCCATTTTCTTAAAATTTATCAAAATAAGCTTTGAAATTATTTTCCTAAACGCCATTATTCAAACATGGTTAATTGATAAAGCATATGATTTCCACCCAGTGCTAATAACACTTGAAGAAAAAATATTTCCATCCCTCGCCACTTGTACCAAGAACAAAATTAAAAAAGAAAATCTCAACCAAACCATAATGCCATGCACCAAACAATCCTCAAACTTTCATCCATGATCCATTCTATTAGTACCATCCCCACACAAATTGGCAACCCTAGTAGCATTACATTGCACATGAACACTCCGATTCCAATTCCCAACCCAACATGGAACCCTCCAACACAGACAAAGGACGCTTCATTGTCTCATGCTTCCTCATTCTAATCTTCCTCTTCATGCTAGCCTCCAACCAAGTTCCACCACACACTTCAATTCTCTCCAACAAACTCTCTCCTACAACCGCGACCAACACTTCCTCCGACAACAACCTACGAATTCTCATAGGCATCCTCACTCTCCCCGACCACCACCTCCGCCGCCACCTCCTCCGCCTCGTCTACGGCACGCAACCGCCACCTCCCGGCGCCATAGTCGACGTAAAATTCGTATTGTGCAACCTCACAAAGGAGGAGCAGAAAGTTCTAGTAGCACTTGAGATCATGCGCTACGACGACATCATAATCCTCGACTGCGAAGAAAACATGAACAACGGGAAAACCCTAACCTACTTCTCGAGCCTCCCCGAGCTGTTGAACGACACCGCTTCGCCTCCTTACCACTACGTGGTGAAAGCCGACGATGACACGTATTTGAGGTTGAACAGTTTGGTGGAGTCGCTGAAACCGTTGCCGAGGGAAGATTTGTACTATGGCTATGTCATACCGTGCGGGAGCATGGACCCTTTTGTGCGCTACATGTCGGGGATGGGGTACTTGGTGTCGTGGGACATTGTGGAGTGGATAAGGGATACGGATATTCCGAGGAAAGGGTTTGAAGGTCCTGAGGATAAGGTTTTCGGAGAATGGATGCGTGAGGGTCGTAAAGGTATGAACAGGCACAATGCTAAGTGGTCTATGTATAATTTTCCTGAGCCTCATACCAAGTGTTCTCACGAGCTTTGGCCTGATACCATCGCGGTTCACTTGTTGAAGAATCAGGAGAAGTGGGTTCGGACTCTTAAGTATTTCAATGTCACTCGTCATTTGAAATGGTCCAAGTTTTATCATATAGCTTAGTGTGTGTGTTTAGATCAGTTTAAAATCACGATCCAACATTTTCAAACACAGTCTTAATGGTTTTCCTTGGATATTGAAGCCGTGAAGCCACAAGTATCTCTGAATTTACTAAACTAAAAACTAATCTCTCTTGCAGTGATATGAGTGTTGCTAGCACAATGAGTGTTTTCGCACACCACAAGAATTGAATACAGATTCCTTGCTACATAAACCGTCCCACAGTGTGTAAATGGCATGGTGACTAATCAGTATTTCAGTTTTCAATCCATCGGGTTATATAGCTTATTCGTTTGCTAAATAAACCTTGCTAAAAAGGCTGTGCCTTTTTAGTTTTACCAAATTGTTTTTTTAATTATAATGTAGAATACGAAATATCAATTTGACAAATCATTTATTTATTTATTTTAGTTGTTATATATATATATATATATATATATATATATTATTAAAGGTAGAATATGTTTTTTTGAAAATTTTTAGACTCGAAACTACAATCTCAGACTCACTTGTTTTTTAACAATTTTTTTTTTGCCTTTAAGAATTCAAATATTTCGTATTAATTTTAAACCCTAAATTATTAACCTTCAATTAAAGAAACTACGTTTTCATTGATTTTTAATGCTAATTATGTATTTACAAATTATTTTTATTTTATTTTTTATGAATTTTTTGAGTTTTTTATTAGTCCACAAATAATATTTATTTCATCACTTTTCACTTTGTGTTCTCCTCCTACACCTCTTTATTGATATGTACTTTGTTAGTTTTTTTTTTTTTTTTTTGTGGCATCGATTTCTTTATTCATTTTTTATGTGTTCTCTATAAATGATCACAAAACTTAACATTAGTTTAAAAGAACATGCATGATTGAGAGGATTTTAGTATTCTCTTCTTTCCATATTTTCTTCTTTCATAAAAGTTTACTATAAATATAGTTTTATTATTTTTACAATTCAATATATTCTTCATATCGATTCTATGTGAATTGTGTTATTAATAAATATTCAATTTTCTTCATATCGTCCAATTTTATTCCTACACTATGTTCGTTGTTAAGAAAATGAAAGATACATTTTTACATTTCATTCTCATTCTTCTCATTATTTTATCACACTTATTTTTGGAATTTAATGTCTTTTACATGAGAAGGATGATTAAAAAATTGAGAAATATTATACTTTTATTATAAAGTTAAGTTTTAAGTGTTTTTAGAAATTAATAGAAATTATACACAAAAAAGACACAAAGATAAAGATAACAACAACAACAATAATAATAATAATAATAATAATAATAATAATAATAATAATAATTACTATTATTATTATTATTATTATTATTATTATTATTATTATTATTTGTGATTCAATGCATTAATTGAACATGAATTAGAATTATTTGTTAATGCAAAGTAGTTAATTTTGCAAGAAAAATGAAAAAAAAAAAAAAAGAATATGTTAGTGTTCAATTGGAAGTGTTAATATACTTCATTAAAAATTTAAACCTCTTATGACAAATACTAGACAAGCTATATAGATATTATTGGGACCAAAATACTTTATTTGTTTGTAAAGAATTGTACACGATAATTTTGAGATATTTTCTATTGTCTTAAATTTTTTCTGCTTCCTTTCTTATATAAATCATATTTTTTTAGTATTCAATAATAAATAATTTGAAATTTTAATGAAAAAAATCAGTTTTAAAAAATAGTAAATATTGTGTAATATTTATATATTAATCATAAGTAATAAAATATATTTTTTTTTTGTTAATTTATGAATATTTTATAGTTTATTTTATGTTTAATAATAAATATTTATTTTATAATTTACTAAATATAATTTATAATTTAGAAAATATAATTTTTATTAACCCACTTAGATTCTGCCAAAGCTCATTTTCAGTTGTCCTTAATTACTTATAATAAAGCGAATAACTTATTGATATTTGATAAGTTATTTATGCAATGTTTTTTCATAAATGATGATTATTAAGTACATAATTTTCGTATGTTCTCCATGCAATAGTTATTCTTTAAAATTACTATCAAATTGCATTCATGTAACTAAATTGATATTACTAAAAAATTATTTATTTATATATATTGTGTAATAATTTATTGGAGTTTTATTTGATTTAACTAGCATTAATATATATATATTAAAATACTGAAATTAATTTCACACAATTAATTTATATTTAAACTATATTTTTCTCTGATATTAATTTTATTTTTTTGGTTCTTCAATTCCTAAATAAATAAAAACTAAATGCTTATAAAATGGGAGTATATTAAATGATATATTAATATTAAATATTTAAAAATTTTCAAACATAAATTGTAATATATAGATACTTCTATTATAATTCAAGAGACAAATTAAAAAAGAAAACATTGTAATAAATGTTTTTTTTTGGTAAAATGTAATAAATGGTGTTTGAATGTATTAAATAATAAACAAAAATATTTATAATTTTTAACATAAAAAATCTTATTATTAATGACAAGATAATATATTAATAATTTTATTTTGGTAATATAATTTTATGATTTAATATTTTTTTGATAATTTTTAAATATACATAAATATTTTATTTAATTTAGGTAATTATTAATATATTCTATGCTTATAAATCTTATTTTTGACTATAAAACAATTAGTTAAGAGTTAATTTTAATTTTATGATTTAATTGTTCAATATTAGATATTTTTAATATTTTTTTTTGTTGAGATATAACATAGAGAGAAATAATTTGAAAGCTACAAATTTCAAAGGAGAATCATAGCTATGAGCTAAAAGACAACTCTAAGCTAACCAAATTTACTTAGAGAGACCAAATTATCTCTTAAAACGAGCAACAACAGAAAACACATCTAGAGGAGCATACCAGTTCACTCAAAGCAACTTAATTACTTGAGCGCAATGAGTTAGAACAAAAAGTATTATTGGAGCACTGATACACTCGTTTAAAGTAGGCCACATGGGTGCTCCGAGGGAGCAAATCTAATCTAAAAAGCCATTACAAATTATTATGAAAATAGGGTCGATCTCTAGGAGATCTTTAAATCCAATTCTTATTTTTTTTAACAGAATTCTAAAGAGATTAGAGAGAATTTTTGTAAGGTTGTTCTTATAATCACAAATCGCTCAAAGGTCCCTCTTCACTAGTGGAAAATTAGGATACTACGTCACCCATTTTACGTCAGATATACAAATAACCGATGTAATAAAAATACGGTGGCATGTTTCGTAATTTTGTTAAATTTTTTACGTCAGATCCCCAAGGGTCCGACGTAAATTTGTAACATCTATGTCGGCTATGCATTGTGTCCGACGTAGATGTTAAAATTTACGTCGGACCCAATTAGGGCCGACGTAAATAACTCCTTGAATTAATTTGTTCTCTCACTATAGATTTCAAAGCTTTGCACCTTCTTCCTCATCATCCCTTCTCCCGTGCGTTGTGGATTTTTCTTCCTCATCCCTCCGCCTCCTCCTCAAATTGTGGTTGTCCTCCTCATCTGCACCTTCTTCTGTTTTTCTTCTTCGGAGAGTTGATTGGTTTCTTCTTTGCGTGTTGATGGAAATGGCTTAACCATACATCCATCTGTTTTTCTATGAGGTAGCATCTATCAAGTTTGTGTTTTCTGGGATGTTTTTTTCGTAATAATGTTTGTGTTGCATTTCGTGTTTTTGAAGCTGGAGAAGGAAGTGACCAAGTCCGGGTCTGGAGAACCCACTGCCTGGGTCTATCAAGCAGAACGGGCCTCCAAGCAGAACGGGCCATTCTCCAAGCAGAATGGCCTGTTCTGCTTGCACTCGTTTTTCTTTCTTTTTTTTTTTTATAAATTTTTATGACTTTTTTACGTCGGACATTGGCATGTCCGATGTAAATTTACGTCGGTTTTTGCGCCCCAACGTATTTACGTCTCCCGCTTCTACGTCGGAAGTTTTTCTGACGTAAAAACCCCTCCAATAACCGACGTAAAATGTGTATTGTGTACTAGTGCTTCTATTGTGTATTCCTTAATTATGAGTAACTAAGTCCTCTATTGTTAGAGATTGATATAACTATTGTACTCATGTAATCTTTACTGTTCTCTTTCAATTTTTATTCGGTTAATAGCTTTTACTTTGTATTTAATACTTGCTTTTTCCAATGCATGAGTTTATAATTTTAATTGAGGTTGAGAAACCCTTTTAGAATTATGATATAGATAAAACATTGATAACATTTATTAGCAAGAAATTCGGATAAACCTTATCAATTGACTTTTTGTCCTTAACCTTAATGTAAGATTGTTTAACAAAAATTAACATGGAATTGAGATTTCTCTTAAATTACCTAGAATTTATTGCCTAAAGATTTAGGATTTAAATATAATTATGGACTATTGAATTAATTGTATAATTTCTAATATTGAATGAAAATTGGAGATGATTTACATGGAGAAGGTTAGTGAAATCAATCTCTAACTGATCTTATCATTATATAAATTAAAATTATTTATTGCTTTGTTATATGTTTTTCTATAAATTTTCATATTTCTTTTTAAATAATTTTAAATTCCTTTTATTTATCTGTTTAGTACCAAAATTATATTAATCAATTATAAACTCAAGTCTATGTGGATTCGATATTTGAACTTCTATCCTCTTTACTTTCTAGAACAATTGGTATACTTGTCAATTGCATATCATTCTTTCATCAATTATATTTAAGTTTTATATTTGGATTATAATTGATAATTAGCATAACACATTAAATCATATTATTATTTTAAAATAAAATGATTGTGTTGAATATTTATAAAATTTTAATTTAAAAAAATATTTGCATATTTAGTTTATATGTTATATATAGTATACATAAAATAAATATAGTTTTTTCAAAGTTTAAATATATCCTTCTTATATTGCATTGATCACTACACTAATAAATATATATTTTAGCTTTTACAATGACATATAATTATATTTTTCCAACTGCGTCTATTATGTATTCTTAAGAAATTAAACCTTTCATATCTAATACAATTTAATAAAGTTACGGATTAAATTCATTTTTGCTTCCTTAAATATTGTCATTGTGCAATTTTAATCTCTCAAATATAATAATTATATGATTTTGGTCCATTATTTTTGTGAAGAAAATAAAGACACGAGAAGGAAATGTCGAATATTGTCAATAAAAAAATCTAACCGTGAAATAGTATCCAAACCTTATGAGTGTAGACGAAAAGTTAAAAGATAACAACACATAATATTTTTATATCGGTTCATTTCAACCACAAAG